TATTATTGTTATTATTGTTATTATTATTATTATTATTATTATTATTATTATTATTATTATTATTATCGCTAGAGGCATACACTCCAGAGTCGAAGGGTCTGGCACAGTTTCGCTCGACATGTGCGAGCACGCTAGTGAATCACTAACAGGGATACCCAAATCGATAGTTCGAACTGTCTTACGGTTACTATTTTTTTAAAACTAAACGTGTTTCAAAAACAGTTTCATATCAGAACAAATCACTTCTATGACATATGTGGAACAGACGTTTTTGCTACTGAAGCGATTAAACAAGTTGCACATAATAAGTTCAGATGCTGCATGTACGTATTGTGGCCTTCAAAGACCGTTTCAAAACATTCGAGATAACTGTCGAGATAAGACACAGAGTTCCGAAACTTTTAGATCCGCTTCGATTAAGACCGTTTCAAAGCGTTCGAGATAACTGTCCAGATAAGACGCAGAGTTCCGAAACTTTTAGATCCGCTTCGATTACATAATTCTGTTTTTTACATGCGGGAGTGCGCGCTCCATATCCAAAACAGTTGATAATGCAGAAATCAAAACTGTTTACAGGTAGTTACTGAAAAACGGTATAGATAGGGCTGATGGAAAAACCGCAGAGCCTGGTGTACTGCGCTCGGAATGTATGACTACATCCGAGTAACACCGGTAGTTTTAGGCTTCAACGCCGTATCTGGGTGATTTTGATAATCGTAGTGGTGGCACCGTAATTTGTTCAATAGTATGGACGATCATTTGAAAGGGATTCAGATTCATTGCAGTCGAACTGCCAAATGTTCCGAATCGCACGGAAATCCCGGACGACAACTTGCGACAGTTCGGAGTGAACGACGAACAGCGTCTTTTCAAGCACATCATTCACAATTACGATGTCTCAGTACGGCCGGTGCGCAATGCAAGCACCGTTGTTGACGTATACATGGGCCTCACGCTCACTCATATTTTCAACATTGTAATCTTTTTCATTTTCGTTACGCATTTTTAAGAAAAAAAAACACTAGAATTTGTTGCTGAAGCGCTAAAATTTGCTGCTTTTTTATGCGCTTTTGCTTTACAATGCTATAGCGTTGCTACAGTGAGCAAAGATGCAATTGTCAAGATGCTCGCGGTACGTGTATGTGGAAGCGTAATTTTTTATGCATTTTGTGCTGTGTAATAGCGCTACAAAACTCTTATTGTCATAGGTTGTATGTGGTGTTTGTGCGTATTTAGTGTGTGTGTGTCTGCAGCAACTTGTCCGCAACTTTCAGTTTGGGCACCACAAAATCTACGAAGCTGAAAATTTTAGGAAACCCCAGTCACGTTCGACTCAGCAAATTTAAATTCAGCCTCCTGTACACACGGGTAACATGTATGCTCCCGTAAAAGGACGGGTAGAATTATTATCACGGAAATCACGGAAGCTAGGAAGCTGAAATTTTGTGATCATGTCCCCGCCCATGTGCGACCCAAAAACTTCAAATTTAGCCTTCCTTTGCTTGCGGGTAACACGCACGACTCCATAAAGTTTTGGCGGGTAAATTATTATCTCCGGAACCATGGAATCTAGGAGGCTGAAATTTTAAGGTAATGACCTCCTGCTCGCGTATAACCTTGCAGATTTAAATTCACCTTTCCCGCGCTCTTGGGTATCACTTGCGGCTTCGTGAAAATTTTGGCGAGTAAATTATTATCTCGGGAACCATACAAGCCAAGAAGCTGCAGTTTCGCAGTAGTGTGCCCTGACTAAATACAATCTTGCAAATTTAATTTCAGTGCCATTCCGTGCCCCTAGGTACCACTTACTGATCCGTGAAAGTTTCGGCGGGAAAAATTATTAGCCTCGGAGACCAGGAAAGTTAGGAATCTGAAATTTTAGGGCAACGTCCCCTGTGAACTTACGACCCCCGCAAATATGAGTTCAGTATTCGCGCACTTTTGGATATCACGTGCGGCCCCGTGAAAGTTTTGGCGGGGAAACTGCCTCGTGAACTGCAAAACTAGGAAGATGTCCCTTGCCCACGTATAGTTCCGCAAATTTTCAACGCCGTCGTGGAAATTTTGCCAAGGAAATCGTTAGCTCGAGAGCCAGAAGAGTTAGAAGGCTGAAATTCCAGGAGAATATTTCCTGCCTAAGTAGGGGCCCCCCAAACTCGAATTCAGTTCCTAAGTATGCCGAGGCCTCATGTATGATCACGTGAAAGTTTAGTCTCAAAGGAAATTAGGAGATTAAAATTTTGGAGGGATATTCACCCTTAGAGGTATCAAATTCAGCTTTCACATACCGGTGGGTGAAATTTTTAACTATTTTTTAACATTTAACAAGCAGTCGTTCGGTAGGTGAAATTGCACAAAATGATTGATCTCAACGGCTATTCTGGTGTGCGCTGCTATTTATTTCTGATGAATTCACTGGGGAACTCAAATAAGTCTGAGAACTAAAGATGGACCACTCATAATTATATTTCATCGATTCAGTGTTGTCTTGAGTTGAAACTGCATTGGTTCTCAGGAAGCTTAAATTTCGATTTCCATCTTGCAGCATCCATTAGCACTCAATTACCCAGCATTCTCAGGGCAAACTAAATTAGCAGCAAATTTGTTTTATTCAGTGCCTGTCGATCTGGGGAATGTTTAGCAAAAGCTAATAAAAAAAGAACTAATGAAAACTGAATCTCGAAAATTCTGAACTAAAAATTCGAAAAAAAGGCTTCAAAGAAATTATTTCCCTAGTGCACTATCCATATTCCGTTGTTTGCCTTCTGCTTCCAGCCCTCCCTCCTCTATCGACCTCCCTGTCTCTCTTCCTATTCCCTTTTTTCAATTATCCTCTTTCAAATATTGAGCGCGAGGCCTTTGTTCTTCGAGGAACAGACGTGCTGCTGGACGAGAAGCAGATAACCGATAGCACTAAGCTAGAAACTGATGTATGTTGTTGTCTGAATTAGGCTTGTGAAAATCACTTTTTTTTTGTGCAAGCTGTCCTCAGGGACTTGTCAAAGGACTGGAACACTTAGAAGAGCATTCGAATTTTTCTCGGGCAATAATAAAACATGTACTCTATCTCATCAAAATTTCTTCCCGTTCCGATGCCCTGTCATTCCCAATCGTTTTCGGCCACCGAGCAAATCCATTTTTCTTGCTAAAATTTGATTTATAGTTCCTTAGAATGGATTAGAAATGAAAACGGAAAAGAAGCAAGTCTAACCAGGTTTGTGTTGCAGACATATTTGTTGCTCTTCACAATATGCCTTGCATGCCGTACCAACTCCACAACCCTGTTTCAAGGCAGTACTTACGCAGTAATTTGTTTTATAGTCCTTCTGAATGAAAATGCGTTCGGAAATAAAGGAAACATAGGAATCTCTATGGTCGAATTGGTTGTGAAAAAAACGGATCAATATCGAATTTCATATAATCAAGATTCATGTTCAAAAAAAAATTATCAAAGAAAACCGATAGAAATTCGTAAAAGTTGCTCAAAAAGATTTTAAGAAAAATTTTTTCTAAAAAATGTTTTTGATCGTCCGCATTAAGAGAACTCGATTTCCAAAACGTTCTTTCAGTTATTTATTTGTCACTTCCAAGAATGCCAAGACCACCCAGACAGTCCCATGTTACTGGTGTTGGTAGGGTGTTCTCCCACGCTGGGCGCAACCATACTAGGCTTTTTGATCCTAGGCTATATGCTTCTCGTTAGTACTTACCGTCATTTCGGTGTATGTGCATCATCCTTCCAGCGGTTGCTGTATTGAGCCCGTGATTAGCAACTTTCTCCCGGATACCGCTCATTAGCGCGCTACTTTTACCTGTTATCAGCGAGACGAGCAATTTTTTACGTGATCGCAATGTCATCCTGCACCCCTGTCAATAATTACAAACAAACAGAAGAGTTTTCATGAATTTTTGTCGTACTGCGCAAGAGCGATGCGATAAGGGGCAAAAATGCATACAGCGATGACCCTGTCTGTGTGTGTTTGTGTGTGTGTGTTCGTCTGTCCAGATATTTCTAATCGACAACCATGCAAACTTTAATGCTGAAATTTTACCAGTGCTTTCCTTGGCCTAGTGTGACTTGAAGAACGTGATTTCAAATATCAAGTACGTTTATGTCTCCAACACAGGAACGAGAAAAACTAGAAAACTGAAACTGTAGGGAAATGTTTCCTGCTCATCTACGTCCATCCAAACAGCTTCTTAGTACCGATCGGACTCACATATAGGCATGTAAAAGATTTTGGCGGAAAATTGCTAACTCGGAAACGAGAAGAGCTAGGAGGCTGTAGTTTTAAAGAAAAGTCCCCTATTCATATGCGGCCAAAACATTTCAGTTTTGGCTTCTTAGAGCTGTCCAGTTCTCACGTAAGAATACGTGAGAAAGACTTCGG